CTTACTATTGTTATTATTACCTTTCAAATGTGTCCTTCCATTTATAAACTCTCTGAACAGTCAACAACTACTTTACGTCAGATCATGTTGGATCGGTTAAGGATGATCACTTGAACAAATCAAATACTTTGCTTGTTTCTTTGTTTGTTCCTTCTTTTAATAGAGCACATAGGTGAGCATACTACTGGCAAGATGAGACGAAAAGCATTCAGCAAAAGACACACGACACAAGCAATGCTCACTGAATAACTGAACAACGACTGAGAGAGAATGTTTCAGCTAATGTGATGTGCTGCTAGCAGCTAAATATCAACTAACAAGTGCCAGATAGCTGTCCTGTTCACATAGACACTAGAGAGCTGAGCTGATATAACAGAATGTTAGCTGTTAGCTGCAGCAGCAGCAGCAGTAGTAGTAGTAGCTGTAGCAGGTTGCTGTGTCTGCCTGCCTTCCTGCTGCTTATTTGCCTGTTTGCTTTCATCGTTTTCGATTGACATCATCTGCTAGCGAGAAGCTGCTGCTACAGCTATAGCTATAGTTATTGCCTTCCTTCAAGCAGCCTGCCTGCCCTTCCTTCCTTCCATCTATCTATCCAACCAGCCATCCAGCCAGCCAGCCAGCCTCTAGTCTCACCCGTGCAGTCAGCCATCCATCTATCCCTCCAGCGTTGGTTAGCTCTTAACTAGTCAGCTGCAGAAGCAATAGACACGCACGTGTGTGTGTGTATTGTATTGCTTCTGCTGTCATTATCATCAGCTTCTTCTCGCATTCACTGCTGCTCGTTTGCTATTCATCACAAAAGACTAGTGCTTGATTATCATTACAAGTTATTACTTCAATTACTGATACTTCAATATTCCATATTGTTTTGTGTTGTTACTTTAAACGAGCATGCATATTCGATAATATTAACTTTTTCAATTGATCTATTTTGCTCGCTCCATAACACTGATTTCAGTGTTTTTGTTCGTTGGTTTTATGCAATTCGTGATATAATAACAATGATCAATCGTACTATCGATCGAGACTTTATAGTAGACTCAACGCAAGAGGCACTCTGAGCTTGCGCTCTGAATAGCACTAGTATTGATTCATCATCAAGGTTTATTCA